CCAACCAGTTTATTGACGGGTGCTCCCCTGCAAAAGTGATGATTCTCCTGAAGTGTATCCACTTGGCTATGGGTCAATAAACAAAATCCCCAACATGGGTTTGCCTGGTCCAGCAAAAAGATCTTCTGGGGTCCCTTGCAGATTCCCAGGACCCAATTTAATCCTGAGGTAGACAATGGTGGTTATACTAACCCCCATTGCTTTAATGGTAGTTTGAACCCCAGGGAAACCGCTTGACGCTACCCTCCAAGAAAGGGAAAAAGGGCACCTCTGGAGGTCTAGGTGGCTACGCCGATGTCTTCCTGAAACCATCTTAGATCAAAAGGGTGTGCTCGTTTTGTTTCATGCATTTGAAACAGCTGAAACTCGTAGTTTTCAAAGGGTCTCCTGGAAATAACCCTTAAACAAAAAAAAAGAGAAATAATGCGGAGACGAAGGACTCAGGGTGGAGTGATTGGGCTGGTTGCAATTGGCGGCTTGTGGCTTTTTATTTCAGTAGGGAATAGTTACTTCCGACACCGGCCAAGCCACTTCAAACTCGTACCTTTGGCCTTGGTGAGATGTTGGTCAAACCTTGACATTTGACAGCATCTGATCAGTACAAATTTGCACTCCAGAAGAACTGGTGAAGGACGCGAATTCCCCATGTTCTGAAAATGCACTCTCCGGAAAAATCAGTCTTTTTTGATTTGCGGGAGTTTGCGAATTGTGCGGAAGTATGAGGCTTTTTGCGCTTTTTTTTGCGCTGAGTTTCAGGTGCGGTGCTTTCCGGTTTGTCACCCGAAGGCGCAAATTCTGAATAACTCCGAATTCTGAAAAAAACATGAATTCTGACTAACTGATCATGATTCATGTGAACGATTCTGATTCTGAATATTTCTGAATTGTGTGGCTCCTTCAGTCAAGCACCGAATCATTGCAATTCATAGGCTTAGGCGTGCAAACCCATTTCCAGGAGTGACTATCAATTCCTAGAAGTTTTAACTAAAAAAAAGAGTTTGAAAACTCTGTGTTTCTTCACTGAGACCCTTAAAAAACTGGTAGTCTCCAGATGTTACGTTACATGTCCATGATTTGGAAGATCCAGGACCATTCCTTTTCCGTGGCTGATCTTTGTCGTTCCCAAATCCACCAGTCATCAAAATAGGAAAGAACGACTGGGACCGCAGTCCTCTCTTGCCTTTGCTCAGGGTCATGGAGTCCCCATCCAAGACCACACTCCACGTTGGCACCTGCCCCAACTCCGAGGCATCGGACATGTGCTTTCCAAACTCTGAAATGACCATGGGTCAAAACCCCGTACCGCCATTGAATGTCCCAATCCAACCACTAAAATAGGTTCTAAAATGGCTGGTGCACCTATCCCAAAATGGTACCATTGATCTTGAACCATGGCCAAATGAGTGAGTGACTCGTCCTTTTTTGAAGGGTACCCTTGTGGTTGGTTTTGAAGGGCAACCAAGAGGAACACCATCCATTCTGGAGGCTTTCGGAATTTTGCCGTGAAGGCGTGCGCATTCCGAGCGGCTGCCAAATGGCCAAGCCACTACGGTCCAAACCCACACGTCTCAAGTCCAGGTCTAAGAATCCTATACCAGCCCTTCTCAGCATACCCCCGCCTTTTGTGTTTTGGAGGGTTTTTGAGGGCATTTGGGAGAATTAGGCAGCATTGGGCCGCATTGGGCGTTTGGCACGCTCCGAGGCTCGAAGAATGGCTGCGTTTCTTGTTGCCCAAAGGCAAAGCGGTCCTTGATAAGGGGCTGGGTTTCACCCAAGAGGTTTCACCCAGCCATGAGCTATGCAAGGGGGGAAACGGCGCCGAGCCAACCCGGGTGAGCCTGCGGGTGGGAAAATGGATGGTGTCCAAAACGGTTACCCTGAGTGGAGAGCACTATCATACCCCAAAAATCCTAGATTTCTGCTCCCGGGTGTAAAAGATTGGGGTATGTTAGATCTTCCTTGAAAACTCGAGGTGTTTAAGGAAATCGAACATACCCATTTTTGTTTGACCAAACAGCCCCGAATCCAGAATTTGGAGCATACCTAAGTGTTGTTGCCCAAACAGCCCCCGTGTCCAAACGGTCGGATAGCAACACGGTCGGATAGCAGCAATCCAGATAGAGGAACGGACTGCGGCTGCGAGTTTAGGAAGCTGTAACACGCCTTCCCCCGGGTGCAGCTACATCAGGCGAACGCGGCCAAGCGCCGTTGTTTGACATGCAAAAAAAAGAGAAGTCGACATGAAACATTGCTTGGCTTGCTCCCCGACTGCGACAGCGTCTCCAATTACAACCAACTTCTTGTTTGTCAACAAAGCTGGTCACGTGTATAAAGCCAAGGACTTATCCCGCATTGTCACACGTCTTGTCCAAGTGAACGACGTAGAAGAACGACGACCATGCCGTGGCTGTTTCTGAAAGGAAAGAACTGCCAGCACTCTCATGCTCCAAAACTGATGCGCGGTCGCAAAGTTGCTGTCGAAACTTGGTCGCCCTTGCAGCAGTGGCTGGCATTTAGGTTCTCTACGTCACGGGTAGGGGTGCCAACGACACACGCCCATAGATATGGACAATTTGTTGTTTCTTCGCTGCTGGCTGGAGGTTCTGAGCTCTTCTTGATTGAAGGCAGGCACTTCCGCGTCGCCGTGGAGGACCTCAATGCTTCCTGGATGCGATCCGCTCTCACGACGCCTCCAGGCCGCGGTGGGACGACTTTCGAGTTGTAATTTGGCCGACTGCCCAGGTGCGCTTGCTCACCACGACCAAGTGCATGCGTCGCAATGAACGGCCGTGGAATCCGGATGCCCGCGATAGTCTGCGCCATTCTGACAAGCTCGCTGCTGTATTAACAACCTGTCATTGTCCGTTGGCTGGTACGCATTCAGACAGTCTCCAGAAAATGCCCTTGCATTGTACCAGCGCATTCGTCCATGAAAAGCGTTTGACAACAGGGAAACACAAAATGTTGCGCTGAAACAGCTCGAGCTACTTTCGAGCATGCCAAATTATTTAATCCTGCAGCCCCTATTGCGAGATACCCCAAAGACCCAAACAGGCTATTTTGGGAGTGCAATCAAAACCCCCAAAAAAGCAGGATCTTTGGGTCGCGGTATGCTCAGAAGGGCTGTTCCCCAAATCTTAGACCAGGAGCTCGGATGCAAGTAGGGTGAAAGTCGATGGCTTCATGTGAAGAAAAACATATGGCATGTGAGGAAGAAAGGGGGATTCACCAAAAATAGAACATCTGCCATCCAGGTGCCCTGAACTTTGATGGCACTATGGCAATGCAAGGGGTTGACATCTGCCTTTGCTGGTCCACAAAATCAGCGCGAGTCTGACAAAAGCGGCTTACCTTCCAAACCATCCCAAAAGAATACGTTCTTTGGCGAATACCCAAACACATTTTTTCAAGAGCAGCTCATATCAAAGGGGAGATTGATCCATTTCAAGGGGATACTGATTGGCGCGGCCGACTCCTCAAAATCTCCAGTTCCTCTACAGTTGGCCGACTTCTCAAAATCTCCACTCCTCAAAATCTCCAGTGAGTCCTACCGTTTCTTGACTTAGTGGGTCCCCCATCCCGAATGGACGTTTTTGCCGACGGCAAATCTGCCGGGTGAGCTTTGCCGCTCAGAGCTCCCGCCTCTTCCGCCGGGAAGGGTGGCGTGACATGTTCAGCGCGGGCGAACGCCCATGCCAAGATCAGGCCGAAGCGCATGGGAAGATACTTCGGCCGACCGGGCCTCAGCAACGCATCTCACCTTGGGGGAGTTTGAACCCCTGCAAGTGGCAACTCTTCCTCTGAAAAGTGCCCATCTTCAAGGCACTTAGACCAAACCGCACTTGTGGGAACCCCCAAAACCCCGAAGCCAAGCCACTCAGAGCATTGGTGTCTGGAGGATGCCCGGGATAAAATGGAAACACCCTTGTCGCTTCTGTGGTGCAAACATGTTGTTTTACAGGTCAATAGCGGGGCTCACATATTTGGAGCGTAAGGGGATGAGAGCACTCAGTGGCCCAAAGGACCAAAGTAACAGATGCACCTGGAATCTTTACAAGAAAAGGACCAACAGGGGAAACACAAAAGGTCAAAAGGTCGGCTTTGGACAAGTGAGAGTAGGATCAGGCCCACCCCCCCACCCCCCCCCCCCCCGCCCCACACACCTTTAGATCCGAGGTCCAGGCGTGCAAAGCAAAATTTTGCTGAAGGCTCAAAGGGCTCGATCGTTGGCAAAGGCTGCGGTCCAAGGCTGGATAAGGGACTCCTTCACAACCCTTGGTGTGGTTGCAAGAAACTGTGTTTTTTGCAGCCCCCTACTAAAAATGAACCGAACAAAAAATAATGACTTGCCAAGAACAGTGAAGGTTTGGAGGAACTTAAAACGGCAGCAGGGGTATTGTCTCCCTACTCCACCGCAAACTAACATGAAGCCCAACAAGCCAAAAAGGGATCCCCAAAAGGATATCCCTCTATAGTAAACTTAGCAAGCATGAGGCTTGCTTCTGCAAGGAGACAATTGGAACAACCACATCTTTGCGGGGGGGGAGGGGTGGGGTAGGTAGCTCCGATTGTTTGGGCTTGTTCTCTAAAGCTGGGAACTTCCCCAAGACAAATATGCTGTCAATAGCCAGGGCTGTGAGGAATGGAACCCACTTCTCTGATACAACAGAAACGGCTTCCCCAAAAAACTATTTTGTGTTTTTATAAAGGGGGATTCCAACTTGTATCACAGAAGTGGGGAGAAACCCCGAGAGATCCCGCAACCCTGAAATACTAGCCAACTTGGGTTGCGTTGGAAACAATATGCCTTTCTTCTCCCGGATAACATCTAGGTCCTCCAGTAGAGAAGCTAGAACAAGAGTACCCTTTTTCTGCGGTCTATTTTCGTTGGGGAGCCCTCCCCAAAAAAAGAAACGGTAAAAGGGCCCTACTGGGGGGACCTAGACATGGACATGTGCAAAGAACATGAAAGAACTGTGACACTCTTGCAGCGTCTGAGCCTTGCAACTCCTTCCCGCAGCTGCAGCGAAAGACCCGCAGCACTTTGTCTGACTCCTGCGCTAGTGCTCAGCCTACCTGGTCCTTTGGATGTGTTTATGCTTTGGATACCCTCCGATTTGGTAAATCGAGGACCGGCGGAATACGGCAAACTGGCTCTGCCCGGGCTCTTGAGGAGGATCAATCGTATGGGTTCTGTTGCACGCATAGGTTGGCCGCCAATTCATGATTCTGGAACTAGACATGGCAGTGGGTCAAAAAATGGTACCCAAAATGGCACCCTGGTAAGTGGCAACATGGACCAAAACCTGTGGTCCAGTGGTGGTTTAATTTTGACCCACACCCACATGTGACTTTGCCAATGCCATGCTTTCTCTTGTCAAGCTACCCACACGGACGCCGAAACCTCAGGCCTTGCAGCCCAGGCCTACAGCTACCTTCGCTGAAATCTCACGGGCTCAACTCGTAAAGGGCACGGCTCAAAACCAGCGCCCCGTTTGGGGCATGCGACCGATGTCTTGCAGACAGCGAACCAAAAAAAAGAAAGAAACTAAGGACAGGCCAGTTGTGACCAGCGACACGCTCGGTTCCGCGGTTTCGACGTCCCTGAGGTAGCTAAGTGCCCATAAGGTTCCAGCTCCTTGTTGCCAAACTATCGGGTAAAAGTAGACACACTTCCGTAAATACCTCAAATTGCGAAACCATGGAGGGAGTTGTGCCACTTTCACCCACCTGGGCCTGTCACGGGCCCGCGAGATGGATGTTGGTAAGTCCGCACACATCACAACTTCTGTGGCCATCTCCCTGGGAGAGGCTCGTTTCAATTTGGGCAGATCCCTCACTGAATGGCTCCAAAGACTGCGCCGTAGCCCAAATCAAGCTTCGATGCAGCGATCAGCTGGTTCACCTGCCTTCCCAAATGGGAATCAATCTAGTAGCGCTACTAGGGCCTGAGAAGTACTAATGCCCTTATAGGGTATATAATAGGATCCTTTTGGAGGGTTTCCACAATTGAAAGCCCTTGATAAACATAGGATCAGGCGAAAATGGCAGATTGACCAAGGCGTCGAAACTGTTTCAACTCTCAGCTCACTGAACTTCTTGGGACCTAAACTCACAGACCCAAATGACCTGGACAGTTGGGCGTGTCTTTCTTTTTTTGGACCCCCCAAGATGGTTGGATTCCTTTTGGTTTGCCTTCAAAGCCATCAAACAAGAGGGTACCCCAACAGACCCTGTTTACCCTTGGGGAATTGCTAAGCTGCAGGCACCTACCGAGAATATCTTTGCCGGTAAATGTACTCAATTGAAGGTGGGTAGGACCAACCACTTTCGGCAGCCCCAACGTGAACATAACTTGTTTTTTGGGTGGGTGTTGGTGTGTGTGTGTGTGTGTGTGTGTGTGTGTGTGTGTGTGTGTGTGTGTGTGTGTGTGTGTGTGTGTGTGTGTGTGTGTGTGTGTGTGTGTGTGTGTGTGTGTGTGTGTGTGTGTGTGTGTGTGTGTGTGTGTGTGTGTGTGTGTGTGTGTGTGTGTGTGTGTGTGTGTGTGTGTGTGTGTGTGTGTGTGTGTGTCTGTGTCTGTGTGTCTGTGTGTGTCTGTGTCTGTGTGTGTGTCTGTGTTGCGGGGGTGTTGGGGGGGGTGTTGGGGGGTGTTGGGGGGGTGTCGGAGGGGGTGTTTGGGGGGGGGTGTTGGGGGGAGTGCTCCACTTGGTGATTTCTCCACTTGGAGATTTAACAAACATCTCTGCAACTGCAAGACCCTACAAAAGCAATCGCAGTGCGCATGATGTGCATCGTTCGGTGCATGGCTGGCTTCGGAATTTCACGTGAATGTCCTGAAGATTGATGCTGAACATGTCTGGCCACTTTGGATTTAGCTTGTTGATAGCTGCCGGGGAACCATCATTGTCAACCAGCCGGTGAAAACATGGCCCACATCTGGGGTACTCCAAAACTACGGTCAAAACACATTTGTTCGAGGAGCCCGGAAAACGTCAAAACCAACTGAACATCCGCGTGATTCATGTGTTGCCACATGCTAACCTTCAAGCTTGGAATCAACCCAAATTTGTTGGCCGCCTAATCGTTTAAAAAATAAAGCTCATGGTTAGTTCGGTCAAAGAGCAACCAAGACTCTGTCAAAGAGCAATCGATCCTGCCTCGGCCATTTGCACCATGCCTCTTTTCTGGGCCCTCAGATCCCCCGTTTACGTTTTAGTGGGTTTAATGGAAAACTAGACACTAAAAGGCTAAAAAGCTAAGAGGACTGGGAGCCACCAAGTTTTGTTTCCTCACAAAAGCGGACATCGGGTTGCGCCTCATCCAGGCATCGCGCACATTGGCATTGGAACCCATAGCCTGGGCGAAGCTTGACAGCCAATCCCTTGCGCGAAAGGTTTGGGGACCAGAAAATCTCATCTGCTCAAAATTCAAATGCAATTTGTTAAAATCAAACAAGTTTCTTTAATTGCGACATTCACTCAACTTGAATCAACAGTGGGAACAACGCAATTGTCGAGACCTTGACACATCTGACACTTTTTGGGAGCTTCACCTCCTGTCAGCTGTCACTTTCATGTGTGAAAGGGTGAAACATTGCAAAAACAGCCGACTGGCAAAGAAAGGGTCTGGAAGCATTTGTCATGTTATCTTCCCCTGTTTCGTTGTTTGTTGGGCATGTCAATCGCAATAAGCTTTTATGGACAACGTAGCCACCACAACTATGAAACTCAGATTCCCCAGCCCCCGGGTCCGCTGTGTGGCCTTAGACCTCAGGGGTCGAAAACAAGAGATATCGGCTGAGGACAAGCCCTGAATAAGGCCTTGGCAAGCCCATTTGTCTTCTAGGTCCTCCAGTAGAGGACGTAAAGGGTAGAAAAAGGGTACCCTTTTTTCTGTAGTCTATTTTAGGGTAGAAGGGCATTACTGGGAGACCTAGTCTTCCCCCCTTCATCACAGAGCCACCTTTCGTGTCCCGTTAGTCGGCCGAACCCGCCAAACAGGGCATGGGGGAGGGAACCGCTGAAGTGAGTTACTTGTTTGCCCACAACTCATTGGCTGAGTGGATGGCCCAAAAAAAGTCCAAACTTTATATTTGCCACTAAAATGGTCATCCCAAAAAGTTTAAAGTTCATGAACTCAGGAAGTGAGACAAGAACTTGCAACACACGCAAGCTCATCATGGAACTTGCAACACAGCTGGGTGGGCTAAGCTAGGTCCTCCAGTAGAGAGGTTAGAATAAGGGTGCCCGAGTTTTCTCTGCAGTCTATTTTGGTCGGGGAACCCTTTTTAACAAAAAGGGTAAAAGGGCACTACTGAGAAACCTAGTGAGCCATGCCCCCCCAGGATTGGGGACCCCGAACCTTTCTCTCTGAATTTCTGAGTGCCAGGCGGGATTGAAGTTTCACCCGGCGGTGCTGCGTGGGCTCCAGAAGGTCGTCATCACCTTGTGGTTGCGGAAAACTGGGTCTACTCAAATCCCACAGAACTCATGGTCATACCAACATTTGACCCATTTGGAGGGCAAATGCAAATGTGGGACGTCTAACTCCAATCTGGAATCCGTAGCGGGACACCTCCCTTGATGCGAGCGTGTGCTTGATGCCATCAACCTTGATAAAAGTGTTCATGCAGCCAAGACACCGTTGACGCACGTGTTGGAAATAGAATGTCGAATGGTTTTGTGATTGGACCTGGTTGGTTCGACAAAGGGTGTCCACTTGCCGCAAACCACTACTCCAGGACAAATGAGATATATACCTATAGACATACTGTGGATGGACGAAACCCTGCACCACCTAAGAAACCCTAGAATGATGATTCCCCTGTAAATACCAACAAACCATGGCTTCCCATGGTTGCAAAGTGGTGCAGGATTTCGTCCATCCACAGTATAATTGCAGAGATCTTCCCTTTACGGTGCCTTCCAAAACTTCCAGGGGGAACCTTCCGAGCCTGATGTGCATTGAACAGCTGGCACCTCGGGAAACATGGGCAGGGGTCGCCAAGAAAACCGGACCTGGGCTGGTGAAAGCTTGTGACGGCTTGTGACGGCTTGTGGGGGGCTCCAACCCAAAACGAAGTTGCGATTGTGGGTTCCTGAGCACCAACCAATTCTGAAGCACTGCTTTTGGACTTCAATCCAACATGTAACATGTGGGACTAAAAGCTTAGTTTCAGAAAAGGCTCGCATTTTGTCAAGTGAGCAGCCCAGTAGAAAGCTGGTGCTTCTATGGGGAACACACCCAGAAAAGGAAGCGCAACTCTTAGCCGGTCGCGAGCTAGGCCTGGCAAGAAATCGCAAATATGGGTACCAACAAGGCAGACCCATATCTTCCCCAGTGTGCTTTGCATTCAATCAAATCCAATCAAAAGTGAGCCCCTCCGCTATTGATCAGGCAAGCTGCTGAGGTAGCTGATAGTGATCTCCCCACCTGCCCCGTGGCAGGTCAGACAGGGTCAAGCAAAACTGTTTAAAACCCGGCACTACCAGCACGCCCCTACAACTGCTTGTTCCCATGTCCCAAAATCCCAAGTGTCCAAAAAGCAGTGTTGGGGGGGGGGGGGGTGCTGGTAGGTTGCCTTTTTTGGAAATCCAGGCTTCATGAAACTCTGTTCGGCCCAGCCCTGGTCAAGGGACGGCAGGAGGAGGATGTAAACAATCGTGTGAGCTACAATCCCCGCGTCAAACCCATTTTGGGTCTTACCTGGATCCCGCCCTAGGCATGGCACAAACAGCAGAATTTGGATCCAGGTTGTCAAAACAAAACCAGGTTCCAGCCTGACCCACGTTTTTGCGCAGTAGAGATCCAGGTCTCCACAAAAAATGGGTTGCACCCCCCCGCAATCAACCAGAACTTTTTCATGATCACTCTGGCAACTTCGGGCAAAGCCGGAAAGTCGTTATACTTCGGGGTTCTTTGGATCTGCGGATCTCAAATATGTCATGTATCCCTGGAATAGGTTCCTGTGACGAATCCATTCACTGTGCCACTAGCTGTGCCATGGTACAGTATCTGGTGTTTGTTCCCAGACCCCCGTGCGTGGCTAGGATCCCTTACGTCGTCAGAATTCATGCAAAAGTGATGAAACCCGTTTGGTTGATCTCCACAACTCGACCGACACATATTGAATCCCACAGGATCCCACAGGAACTCCCAATCAGGTCGAATATAGATGTCCTATCTGCAGCCCTGTTGCTTTTCTCTTTCAAGGGGTCGAACACATGTCGTGCTGCTTTTACTTGCCAGCTCACTTTGCAGCTGGCAAAAAGCCCGGAGCACGCATGTGAATGAAGGCGCGCCCAAGCGCCACATGTTGCTCCCAGCCCAAGCTTGAGGAGCAAACGAGTCACAGGGCACGCAGCACCTGCAAGAAAGGGGCACCTTGAAGGTCTAGTCTAAACTTCCATCACAATCCTCATATTTGTCGCCAACAAAACAAAACGTGACTCCGCCAGGAAAATAAAACGCACTCACAAGTATTCACATGGCTTTCAAAGGGCGATGTTGTAACCCAGCTGAGGGCCTTCCTCGATGTCCTCGATGGCGATGAGCGCCTGGTGTTGGTTGGCGTCGTAGGGGTTGGGTGCCAGGTTAGTTGAATCTTTGGGCCAGGTCCGGGGCCAAGAATTCTTGCCTTCAGCTTGGTTGCTGCAACAACCCCCCTGCAAAAGTCTTGTTTCTAACTTTTTCGGGGTGTAGTGGAAAACCCAACTGGGTTTGTACTTTTTTACGGGGGCCGGGCAGGCAGGTTTGAGTACGGGGTATGATTCGCAGGTATAATTCGCGGGTATGATTCGGGGTATGATTCGGGGGTATGATTCGCGGAAGCAGCAGCAGCAGCAGCAGCAGTAGTAGTAGTAGCAGTAGTAGTAATATTGTAGTAGTAACAATAGTAGTAGTAGAAGTAGTAGTAGTAGTAGTAGTAGTAGGTAGTAGTAGTAGTAGTAGTAGTAGTAGTAGTAGTAGTAGTAGCAGCAGCAGCAGCAGCAGTAGTAGTAGTAGGAGTAGCAGCAGCAGTAATAGTAGTAGTAGTACTAACAGTAGAAGCAGCGACTGTAATGGCGCGGAAGCTTTGAAAAGACTTGGCGCTGGCCTTGGCAAGGCAAGTTCATTGCGCGGGTATGATTCGGGTATGATTCGCGTGTATGATTCGGCTAGGTGCAAAACGGCACTTACAAACTCAGAATGATGAATGTAGTAGTAGCTGTGGTAGTAGTAGTAGTAGTAGTAGCAGTTGCAGAAGTAGTAGTAGCAGCTGTAGCATATAAGCAGCAGCGGCTGTAGTGGCGCACTAGCCTTGGCAGGGGAAGCTCATTGTCCGGGTATGATTCGGGTATGATTCGCGGGTATGATTCGGCTAGGTGCAAAACGGCCCTGATTACAGACTCAGAATGAGGTATGTAGTAGTAGTGAGTAGTAGCAGCAGCAGCAGGAATAGTAGTAGTAGAAGTAGTACTAGTAGTAGTAGTAGTAGTAGTAGTAGTAGTAGTAGTAGTAGTAGTAGTAGTAGTAGTAGTAGTAATGGTTGTAGTAGTAGTAGTAGTAGAAGTAGTAGTAGTAGTAGTAGTAGTAGTAGTAGTAGTAGTAGAAATAGTAGTAGTAGTAGTAGTAGTAGTAGTAGTAGTAGTAGTAGTAGTAGTAGTAGTAGTAGTAGTAGTAGTAGTAGTAGTAGTAGTAGTAGTAGTAGTAGTAGGGTAGCAGAAGCAGAAGTAGAAGGATTAGAGTAGTAGTAGCAGCGGTAGTAGCGGTGGTAGTGGCAGTAATACTCGTAGTCGCGGTAGTAGCAGTAGTAGTATTAGTAGTGGTAGTAGCAGTAGTAGTAGTGGTAGTATTGGGTAGCGCTGGTGGTGGTTGTTGTGGAGGCAGTGAACAACGCAAAACGGTAGAAGAACAGTAGCATCTTGCAGCGTACGTTTTAAGGGGTATGATTCGGGGGTATGATTCGGGGTATGATTCGGGGGTATGATTCGGGGGTATGATTCGGGGAGGTCCCACCTTCTGCCTTTTGAAGCAACTCAACACACCAAAAAAAGACAAACCCAACTTGATTTCAACCAGAAAGCTAAGGTCTACAGATCCAACCCAGCAGTCAAGTAAGAGCTTCAAGCGACACCTCCGGGGTTCGAGAAGGGCCAACAGTGTGTGACGGCTATCCAGCTGAGTCCTCAGACGGATCAACAAATCACGCCTGAGTGGATGGCCCAAAAAAAGTCTAAACCCCAAAAAGTTTAAAGTTCATGGACTCAGGAAGTGTGTTGAACAGGGCTGTGGTTGAAATGGAATCCACTTCTGTGATACAACAAAAAGCGCTTCCCAAAGACTTTTTGTCCCGGATAAAGGGGGAGACTCGCTTGTATCACAGAAGTGGGGATGAACCCCTTGGTCCCACAACCCTGCCTTGAAGTAAACTCGTCTCAAAGTCCAAGATGTGGCAAGCATTGGATCGGAGGACATGGGGGACATGAGGCCGTGAAGGAGCGGGAGGGGTCCTTTTGCCGCGCAAATCCAAAAGCTTTCACCGTTCGGATGTAGGGCCGCTCAACCGGATTGTTTGGTGATGCCAAGTTTCAGGGATGAACACAAGTACGCAAACATCGAGAAACCAAGGCATGCGCGCATGTGATCGCGCGTGCGCAAAAAGAGAAAGACCAGCGAGTGCAGCTAGCCAGGAAGGAATAAAGCGAGCAAATCCAAATCTCGAAGTGGGTGGACCAACAAAAAGGTATCCATGTGTCTGAGTAGGAGACAACCCACGTTTCAGACAACCACGTTTCAAAGGACCCCTTGAATTCCCAAAACGCACAAAGCTGGCTTTGATGTAGCTCTGAAAGCTGGCGTGTCTAAGAACAAAACTCACTGCCTGAGTGGATGGCCCAAAAAAAGTCCAAACTTTAAATTTACTACCAAAATGGTCTTCCCAAAAGGTTTAAAGTTCATGAACTCAGGAAGTGTGAAGAAAAAGAAACACGCATGAAATGGATCGGCCACTTCGGATCCTTTTCCGCGCCTTCCTGAGGGGATCGATGGGCTCAAAGCCCGGCGTCTTCGAGCTGACCTCGGAGCCCGGATCACACGCCGGGACCCAGCCGGGAGGGCCAGGGACGGGATTCAACTTGAAAGCTTTAATTCAGTTTCAAATTCCATTTGCTTTTTAATCAACAACTCAACAACAAACAAAATTAATTTCAACAAATAAACTCATCTTTCCTTGGATTTAGTCACAGGTGCCCTCCCACTTAAGATGGAACCTGACAGGGGGGGGTGCTGGAAGACAATTTTCCTTTTTAGAGAGACCTGTCAGGTTCCATATTCATTGGTGAGGGTAAACTGCATCTGAACTCTGAGACTCTAGCGGCTACCTCCTGACTCCTTTTTGGCCAAGCACCGACAGATCTACATATCGCAATGGGCAGCGTGCCAACTACATACAGTTACTAGTTGTGTGGGAAGAAGTGTGCCAAAACACATTTGTACAAGTCATTCAACTCCCTTTTGGGTGTGTTCATAAGTGTGGGTCCCGAAGTCGAAGGTTTACCCTTTGGTTCAAACAGAACCCGACATGAGTGCCTCTTGTGTGCTTGTTCGATGGCTCAGGTGGAACTAGCAATGTGTTGTTGTTGGTATGTCTACACCGTACCGTGATTCGAGTCATGCCGTGTGATACTCAAACAATATTCTCGCTTTGCAGCCAACGGTGCAGCACAAAGTCTGTTCTAGCGACCCATAGGAGTCTGCAGAGTGCTACTAGCATATCAAACGAACTCGCGCTTGATCTTGCTTCGTATCACGAGTTCGTGTGCTGCTTGGCCTAGAACGTATGACGGGTGGCAGACAAGGGAGGGGTCCTCAAGGGCAAATGGGCAGCTTGTGCAACCAAATGGCCACGCCTGCCCATCAAACGCTGATGCGCCTGCAAGTTGGAAGGCCGACAGACATCCAGCTTCCGCGACAGCAACGCCACACATCACATCCTTGGGTGCTTTATTGGTTGCTTTTCGGCGAGCTTTTAAAACATGACGAAGCATTCAGTGCCCAAGCCTACCAAGTAGGGATCAAACAAGACAACACAAACAAGACACACATCCACCCCGGACGTGCCTCCGTCAACGAAGGGCAAAGCTTGGTCAAACTTCCCGGACCAAAGTTCTGACAAAAACCTTGAGGTTTCAGATAGCTGAGCAGCTCTGAAGCACGCAGTTCAAGCCATGCACACCAGCCAGGATCTCTAGCCTCGGATCTATGCCAAGTCGCTACCTGCTGGGGATCTCCCAGCGTGGCCTTGGGCCTTGCGCTTTCGTGAATGGGGCAAAAACTTGCGTCTTGCCCTGTAGTGGGAATAGTCTAAATAAGCCTTTGTGTCTGACAAATCGATCGCACCATTTAAACATACGGCCTTTGATATGACCACGCTGGATCTGAAACTACCCTTAAGCATCCGTCCGTCCTGGCCTTGTCGGCTCCGAAAGAACGGTTGGAACAAGTCTTTCGAACTCAACACACGCACTTGCAATGCAACAGGGACAGCCAGAGCTTCAATCAATGAAGCTGGAGAATAAGGGACGCTCACATGATTGGTTCGCTTCGCTTTCCCTTCTCGTTCCAAAGAGCAGGCTCAATAATGGGGTCTTTGGCTGCTTGTCTCGCACAGTGGCCATGGAATGGAGCTCGCGCGCTGGCCTAGAAACTAAAACAGTGGCGAAGTCCGGTCACTACATCTTTGCCGGAAGGGCCGCGGCTTTTTCGCGCCAAGCCAACCACTCAATCGCTGCGCCGTGACAAACAGCGCGTGCCAGCACGGCTGATCATGCCGCGATGCGACAAGGGACCAAGCGCTCACACGAGGTTTGGTCTGAACACGTCGGGCGGGACATGAGGGACCCACTAGGTTTCCCATAGCCGGGGGACTGGCTAACTACCCTATGCCCTTTCGCTGGAACTGCCTATTTTGACCAGTTAAGAGTTTCCTGCGCCTGCTAGCTCGAGGCTGCGTTTCAGCAG